CTCACCCCATGAGGGTGTGGCCAGCCTGGGTGAGGGACTGATGGCTGTTTGCAGGCTGGCCACAGCCCCTTCATTGTGGAGGTACCCACTGGGGTGCCTGGCCATCCGGGGTGAGGGGCTAAGGGCTGTTTGCAGGCTGGCCTTAGCCCCCAGCCACCCAAGCTCCCAGTGGAGGCTGGCTGGAAGCAGGTATCTGGGATTTATTTAGCTTCTGTAATTGAAACTTTGTTGCCTTTAGCGGAGGCCACAGCGGGCTCAGGGCTGGCAGGAAGCTTGGCTTCCTCCATCGCCCGGGCAACCAAGCCTCCTGCTTGCTCCAGCTCCATGGCTGTCGGCTGCCATCTTGGTTGGGTTAATTTGAATATAGTTGCTCTGATTGGCTGGTGGGCATGGCTTAGGGCATAGTGAAGTTACAGTCAATTAGCATCTTTGTCTTTTATTAGTGTAGATGTACTCCACTAAATATTCATAAGATTTTAATACAGTTATTTTAACATATTTGATAGTGGTGCTCTTCCAAACCTCCCAGGAAGTTATGTAAGAAAAGGATATGCATTGTATTAAGTTTCCAAAATCTCAAAATTGCTGAAATTTAAAATATATTTGGGCTCAAGTGTTTTGAAATTGGAATTTTAGATCCCTGCAGTATTATGACAATATAATCATGAGTATGTATTAAGAAAAACTGTGGTTCTTAAACAGTGATTGCCACTATTCTATAGAAATAGATTATAGAATAACTGTAATAATCTTGCTAAATTCATTACAGCAGTGTTTATTTTAAGATGGTCAAAGTTTGGGAGGAAAAAACATCAATTAGTTTATACAACACTGTGACAACGTGATAATAAGTGTTTGGCAATTTGAGAAAATAAAAAGAAATACGTGTTACTTTGTAATGGCTGAGCAAAAAGAAAACCCACTTGTGTTTAGACTGCAAAGGCTCTCTTTAAAAAATGCAAGGAAGCTGGACAGAGGAGCTATCTCTAAAGGGAAGAGATGGCGAAGGTTTAAATTGCCAGAACAAGGAAATCATTTTATCTCCCCCCCGCCCCCAACCCCACCCTTGCGTGCAGGCAGTGATAGTATTGAGTGATATGACCTCTGAGATTTTACAGTAAGTGAAAGAGGGAGCAAGCATTTGAAGTAGTCAGTATCTAGTAGGGCCCAGTAGAGAGAATATGGGCCAAACCTGGGGTCAACACAGAAAAAAAATCATTTTACAAGAATGGGAATATCTACAAGTTACTGAAATACACTCAAACATGCACATTTTAATGGCATGGAGAATTGAGGTTTGTTGGCTTCATAAGCCAGTTACTAATTTAATTATGTTTATTGACTTTATTTTTTACAATTCATGGGCAAATTAGATGACTATATTCATATACTCAGAATTATACCAGGCACATGGACAGAGTCCTGTGTGGGTGAGGAAAGGTGAGGAAAATGGGTCTGGTAATCTAGAGTTATTTCATGAAAATAATTAGATGTAGAACTGTTTAAACAGTTTTTTAAAAAATACATTTTTATTTATTTCAGAGAGTAAAGGGGAGGGAGAAGAGATAGAAACATCAATGATGAGAAAGAATCATGATCAACTGCCTCCTGCACACCTTTCACTGTGGATCAAGCCTGCAATCCACATTGCAGGCATGTGCCCTGACCAGGAATGGAACAGTGAACCTCCTGGTTCATAGGTCAGTGCTCAACCACTGAGCAACACTGGATGGGCAGATGTAGAAATGTATTAAGGATACACTTACAAAAGGTAACTCAGTAGAGCTATAAGATAATTTTTATTGTAAGCCAATATAATTTATACACAATACAATATATCACATTTTTAAAATCACTTTTTCGTATTTATTCACTGAGCATGAACATCTGAAGGACTTAAATTAGTATGTTTCCTTTTTTAAAGGAACCCTGGTTTCTACCAATTTGCAGCCATTGCTTCTCAGAGATGTATCTTTAAATAAGAGACATTTGCAAAGCATAAAAAACAATGCTTTAGAATCCATATTAACTTTGATGATTTTTCAGTGTATATGGGAATGTTATTAATGAAGAAAAGCCACATGTGGAGCTTTTGCTCATATCTTTAAGATAGAGAAAGAAAAACTTTGCTCTTAGGTAGAGAAAGAGAAACTCTGATAGGTATTAAATTCTTTCTGCAGGGAAAGATAACCTTGGGCTCACCAATCTTTTGCAACATTATGTACATATTTTCCATTTATTTGTGGCTATTGCTTTGTATATATGATGTCTTTAACAAGAGAGTGCATTATATAACCACCCCCCATGACAAAAATATGGGGGGACACCACATTGTAAGTAAACATAGTCACAGAGAGGAGATTAAGTGGTGTGCAAATATGAAGAAACTACCTCTATCCTTTCACATCTAATATCTACAATTAGACATATGAGCCTGGAAATTGATTCCAAAATAGAATTTATATATACAGCTATTTTGGCAGAATATCTTTTTAAGCTGGATTTGATTTTGTTTATTTTGTAGTATGTTTCATATTTTGAGTATGAATTAATAAAATGCAGGAAAATGTTTTTAAAAAGGTAATATGAGTATTTGTGGAGTGAGTGAACACTCAAAATCATTTGTTTAGATATAATATTAATGGGCTAGATACTATCACATTATAATGGATTTCTCATACATAAATATGATTATATTTATTTCCAGAGTAGCATTAATTTTAAGGGCACTCTTACAGATTTTTATGCTGCAAACATAAATGGTTTATATAGATATAATTTATTAACTTTTATTATTATTACATTAACTAGAGGCCCAGTGCACAGAATCATGCACTGGTGGGGTCCCTTGGCCTGCCTGCACCCTCTCGCAATCCAGGAGCCCTCAGGGGATGTCGGAGAGCTGGTTTCGGCCCGATTCCCCGCAGGCCTGATCCAGACAGGAGAGAGCCCAATCCTCTGTATTGAGTGTCTGTCCCCTAGAGGTCAGTGTGTGTCATCGTGACCAGTCAACCCATTGTTCGGTTTCTTAGGCTTTTATATATATAGATTTTGTTGAATTTATTGGGGTGATATTGGTTAATAAAATTATACAGGGTTCAGGTATACAATTGTACAACACATCATTGGTATATTATTGTATTGTGTGTTTACCACTCCAAGTCAAGTCTCTTCCATCACCATTTATCCTCCCTTTATCTTTTTCCATATACCTCCAACCTTGCTTCTCTCTGGTAATCACCATACTATTGTCTGTGTCCATGAGTCTGTTTTTTTTTTTTTTTCTTTGCTTAATCCCTTCACTCTTCTCACCCAGCTCCCAACACTCTCCCCTCTGAGAGTTGTCAGTCTGTTCTCTGTATCCATGAGTATGTCTCCAGTTTGTTAATTTATTTTGTTCATTAGATTTCACAAACAAGTGAAACCATATGGTATGTGTTTTTCTCTGACTGGCTTATTTCACTTAGCATAAAACTTTCCAGGTCCATCCATGCTGCCATTAAAGCTAAGATTTCCTGCTTTTTTATTTTTATACATGAGTAGTATTCCATCCTGTAAATGTACCACAACTTTTTTATCCACTCATGGGCACTTAGACTATTTCCAAATCTTGGGTATTGTAAATAATGCTGCAATGAACATTGGGGTGCTTATATTCTTTCAAATTAGTGTTTTGAGTTTCTTTGGATATATTTCCAGAAGTAGAATTGCTAGGTCATAAGGCAGTTCCATTTTTATTTGTTGAGATAATTCCATATTGCTTTCCACAGTGGCTGCACCAATCTGCATTCCCACCAACAGTGCACAAGGGTTCGCTTTTTCCACATCCTCACCAACACTTGCCTTTTGTTGATTTATTGATTCTACCATTATGACAGATATAAGATAATATCTTATTGCGGTTTTATTTTGCATTTCTCTGAGGATTAGTGAGGATGAGAACCATTTCACATGTCTAATGGACATCTGTACTAGTATGTCCTCTTACTACCCAAAGCAATGTATAGGTTCAGATGACATCAAATTTAAAGCATTTTTCCACCCCTGTTTCTTGTTTGCAGGTTTATTCTTTGATTCCCAATAAAAGCTTTGGGGCATTATCTCATTGTAGTTTTGATTTACATTTCCCTAACAGCTAGTGAAGTTGAACATCTTTACATATATCTGTTGGCCATTTGTATGTCTTCTTGTGAGAAGTGTCTGTTCAGGTCCTCTGCCCATTTTTTCATTGGGTTGTTTATTCGGTGTTGATCTGTATGTGTTTTAAATATAATTTGGATATCAACCCCTTGTCAGAGCTGTTGTTTGCAAATATCTCTCATTCAATTAGTTGCCTTTGTTAAAATTTTATTTTATTTTATATTTTCCATCATTATTTATCCCCTCTGTGCCCTCTTTCACCTCCAAACAGTCGCCTTCCCCTTGCAATCACAACATGGTTGTCCAAGTTCATGAGTTCTCTCTCTCTCTTTTTTTTTTTCTCAATTCCTCTTGTTGTTTCTTTCTTTTTCGCAATCCTTGTAGTTTTATTGTGCTGTGCAGAAGCTTTTTAACTTGATATAGTTTCATTCATTTATTTATTTTTTCTTTACTTCTCTTAGAATGATTATTATCAATACGATAGGTAATAACAAGGGTTGGAGAGGTTGCAGATAAAAAAGAACCTTCATTCATGGCTGGCGGGAAAAGAAACTGGTACAGCACTATGGAAAGCAGTAGTGGTTACTCCAAAAATTAAGAGTAGAGTTACCATATGACACAGCAATCCCTCTTTTAGGTATCCAACTGAAAAACTTGAAAACATATATTGGCAAAGATATGTGCATTCTTGTGTTCATTACAATATTGTCCACGATGGCCAAGGAATGGAGTTAACCAAAGTGTCCTTCAGTAGATGATTGGATAAAGACGATGTGGTACTTACATACAAGGGGATGCTACTCAGCCATAAAAAAAGATGAGGTTGTTGGGGGCGCGGTGAGTTGGAACCGCACCTCGCGGCCATGTCAGCAGATGCTCACGTGTTGACAACAGAGGAGAGGAATCAAGTTATACTCGACCTTAAAGCAGCAGGATGGTCAGATTTAAGAGAGAGAGATGCAATCTTCAAAATTTTTAACCAAGCCTTTGGCTTTATGTCCCGAGTTGCTCTACAAGCAGAGAAGATGAATCCTCACCCAGAATGGTTCAATGCCTACAACAAGGTCCAGATAACTCTCACCTCGCAGGACTGTGGTCAGCTGACCAAAAGAGATGTGAAACTGGCCAACTTTATTGAAAAAGCAGCTGCTGCTTTGTGATTTCTTTCAAAATCCATGTAAAATCTTTTTTTTATATATTTTATTGATTTTTTACAGAGAGGAAGGGAGAGAGATAGAGAGTTAGAAACATTGATGAGAGAGAAACATCGATCAGCCGCCTTCTGCACATCTCCTACTGGGGATGTGCCCGCAACCAAGGTACATGCCCTTGACCGGAATCAAACCTGGGACCTTTCAGTCCGCAGGCCGATGCTCTATCCACTGAGCCAAACCGGTTTCGGCCATGTAAAATCTTATATACATCTTAGGTCTAATGTACTTTGCGGGTGATTTACATGAACAGATTAAGCTGAAAATTTAGTTCACCTTTATATCACATTTTGTAAAATCAGTGCTTAAATACAAAATGATGTAAATTTGAAAAAGAAAAGGTGAAATACTGCCATTTGTGACAATATGGATGAACATTGTGAATATTAGATGCTAAGTGAAATAAGTTGGTCAGAAAGAGCTAAGAACCATATGATTTGACTCATGTTTGGGATATAAAACTGAAACTCTAGACAGACAACAGTATGGTGGTTACCAGAAGGAAGGGGGTGAGGAGGTAGTAAATGGCAAAGGGGGCCAAATATATGGTGATGGAAGATTATTTGGTTTTGGGTGGTGGGCACACAATGCAATAATACAAACCATGTATCATAGAAATGTATATTTGAAACTTATATAATCTTGTTAGCAATGTTACCACAATAAATTAAAAACTAAAAGCTTTAGTTTTCAAAGAAAGCACAAAATTGAGTGTATACCATTTATGAACTTACTAGAGGCCCGATGCACAAAATTTGTGCAAGAGTAGGTCTTTCTTCCCTTGGCTGCCAGCACTGGCTTCCCTCTAGCACCCAGGACCCAGGCTTCCCTCCGGCCACAGGCAGGCACCTGGGACCCGAGCTTCCCTCCAGCTGCTGGCAGGCACCCACGACCTGGGCTTCCCACACAGCCCTGGCTTTGTTCATCTGGTCTAATTAGCATATTATGCTTTTATTATTATAGATTGGTTTTAGGGACTAAATGTTTGTGTCCTCCCAAAATTTACATATTAAACTGTAATTTCTAATGTAATAATGTTTGAAGATGGAGCCTTTGATAGGTAATTAGTTAACAAGAGTGGAACCCATATGATGGAGTTAGTGACTTTGTAAGAAGAGACCAGACAGAGGTCAGAGGTTGCATGCTTTCTCCCCCGCCATCTCTCTCTCTCGTGAAGATACGAGAAAATAAAAACCATGAAGAGTGCCCTCACCGGATACCACATTATTGGCACATTGATCTCAGGCTTCCCAGTCTCCAGAACTGTGAAATAAATATCTTTTGTTTAAGCCACCCAGTTTCTGTTATTTCTGTTATCGCAGCCTGAACCAAATCAATTGGTATTGCATTTTGAATTGTAACTTGCTGCATATCCACTTTGGTCTTGCAGTAATCATGATCTTGAAAAAGTGAAGAGAAAAAAAAATGTACTTATGAAGACATTTTTGAGAGGATGATTAAGTAAGAAGATAGTTCTCTTCGACTTTGGGTTATCTCATACACTTCTTTTTCAACTTATACTTACATTTTGAGAATGCTGAATTTATTTCTTAATCCAGAATTTACACTTGCATTTCTACTACCTCCAGATGCATTGATTTCTTATAAGAGATTACAAGAATGAGCCTGTTTCTGCTTCTGTAGAGTTAAAGTGATAACGTTAGTATTAATATTGTATTCTATATTCTTATGAGTAATTCCAGAACCTGGGTAAATTTCTCAAATTTCAGGCAATCTGGGTCGGTGTCCTATAGACTTTTCTGCTTGCATCAACATTTTTAATTTCTTAAGTTCACCAGCAGGTTCCATCCATAGAATAAAAAAAAAAATCTTCATTTTTACATGCTGATAGATTTTAACCTAACCTCTCTGCAAAGTTGTCATACTTTCTGTAAGATCTCTTTTGATTCTTCATGCCAGTTTGTCAGCCGGTGATTCCAAGCTGCTGCACTTGACTTGCAATCTTTAAAATATCACTTGAGTGTAGAGTTCTATTTTAACTTTTCACCGCCATTCTTCATGAAAGGTTTAAATGAAATATTGACACTTTCCATATTTATTTAAAATATTATATGCACCTTCTGCAGTTCTTCACACTTTTCATGAAATAATTTTAAACATAGGGATATATAATTTTACAGAAAATTCTTATCAGTTTGAGCTTTCCTTGACAAGCTATTAATCTTTGAAATATTTTGCCCAATGCTATGATGTACTGTCAGAGAAGAAGTGGAATTCATTGCTTCCAAATTCACTTGGGCAGAAATAGAACATCATTACAGGCATTTATCATTTTCCACACACTCAAAGTTTTGGTAAATGAAGTGCATCTGCATCTTCTGTTGGGTCATCACAATTAGCACCTAAACAATATAAGTGTGAAATACCATTCACCAGACTAGATAATGACTTAATGTTCTTGTTTTATCTTTACGATATTTGTAACTGTCAAAAACTTTACCAACTTCTCTACTTAAATTCTTCTGTACAAGTCTGAGAGAATTGTTGAGTTAATTATGTGACTGCAGTATTATTAATAGAAAGTTTCAATATGAAAATCATTATAATTTTCCTAATTTATGTTTTGACTAAAATGGTCATCATTTGAATGAGAAAAATGTACTAATTATAAAAAATAAGTTACATTTTTTATAGGAAAATTTTAATTTCATCTACATTTTTAACACCTGATAGAGTGCTTTATGTATAGAACTAGAGGCCAGATGCACAAAATTCGTGCAAGAGTAGGCCTTCCTTCCCCCAGCTGCTGGCACCGGCTTCCCTCTGGCACCCAGGACCCGGGCTTCCCTCACAGCCCCAACTTCCTCCAGAAGGTCATCCGGAAGGATGTCCAGTCTAATTAGCATATTATTCTTTTATTATTATAGGCTTGATAAATAGTTATTGAAGAAGTAAAACTGTAGCTAAATGATTGAATTTGGCTCATATAATTTGAAAAAATATTTAAGTCGTTATCCAAGTTTCAGTTTCAGCTTCGATTTTTGATAAATGATTTTGTTTTGGGGATCTGTTTATTCATTAGAAAGATTATAGGGTTAGGGTCATTGGTTTTCAAAATATCTCTTGAGAAATTGTCAATTATTTCATTTATTTTAGAAGCTAGAAGAAATGTTTCTTTTTTTTAAAATATATTTTATTGATTTTTTACAGAGAGGAAGGGAGAGAGATAGAGAGTTAGAAACATCGATGAGAGAGAAACATCGATCAGCTGCCTCCTGCATATCCCCCACTGGGGAAGTGCCCCCAACCCAGGTACATGCCCTTGACCGGAATCGAACCTGGGACCTTTCAGTCCGCAGGCCAATGCTGTATCCACTGAGCCAAACTGGTTTCGGCAGAAATGTTTCTTATAACCCTTTTTCAAACTTTATTTTTTTTCTTGAATTGATAAATTATGTTATTATTTTAATTTAATACTTTGTTAATTAGAACAGAAGCATGGAAAATACAAGTTAGTGCCATTTGAACATGTAAGTGAGTATAATTAGCCTAAGTTGGTCATTGTTTTATTGTTTAAAGTGATTTTCTTTTTTCAAATAGTGACTTTAGTTATTCTTGTTTGTTTATTCTGTGACTCAGAATTTCATAATATCAGCTGTGGCTATATAACAGGGAAAATATAACTTGCTTAAGCAAGGATTGAAGTAGAAATTCTCATCTCAATAAGTAGAGCATATGTAGGAATCTTTAAAATATAGCCTTATGAAACACTGATTAAAATTTACAAATAAAATTCTGGAAGTTTTAAAATGATAGCTCTGTTTGATGGTAATGCTGCATATAAAATCATTAAATGGTTTTTTAATATGGATATCATCTATGTTCTAATTTATAACTTCCATGAAATAACATAGGCAATATTACATTGAAAGATATAAATAATTTATCATACATTATGAACATAATTTTTGTAATATAATCTTGGAGGGCAATATATTTAAGTTTTCTCACATGTATCATTAAAATAGACTATAATTTGAGAATTTAATACATGGAATATAGGCATCATGCAATTTACAATTATTTTATTTTTAAATTAGCTAATAAATTTAGAGATATACATCAGTATTAGAGAAGTTATGGCAAAGCTAATTTCTTCGTTTTATTTTTAATATATTTTTATTGATTTTAGAGAGGAAGGGAGAGGGAGAGAGAGATAGAAACATCAGTGATGAGAGAGAATCATTGATTGGCTGCCTCCTGGATGCCTCTTTCTGGGATGGAGCCCACAATCCAAGCGAGGCCCTGACCTGGAATTGAACCCTAACCTCCTGGTTCATAGATCAAGCTCAACCACTGAGCAAGGACAACTGGGCTCTTTTTAAAAATATATATATATATTTTATTGATTTTTTACAGAGAGGAAGGGAGAGGGATAGTGAGTTAGAAACATCGACAAGAGAGAAACATCGATTAGCTGCCTCCTGCACACTCCCTACTGGGGATGTGCCCGCAATGAAGGTACATGCCCTTGACCGGAATCGAACCTGGGACCCTTGAGTCCACAGGCTGACGCTCTATCCACTGAGCCAAACCGGTTAGGGCTGGGCTTTTTTTTTTGTTTTTTTTGAAGGGAGAGAGGAAGGGGAGAGAGAGACAGAGAAATATAGATGTGAGAGACATCAATTGGTTGCCTCTCACATACTGGGACTGTAGCAGGATCAAACCTGCAACTCAGGTACATGCCCTTGACTGGGAAACAAACCAAGACCTAGTCCTCTTCAGGCTGATGCTTCAACCACTGAGCCAAACCGGCCAGGGCAATAATTTCATTTTAATAATCAATTAACCAAATATGAAAAATGTGGCTTAACTTCACATGTTTATTTTTAATTTTATAGAAGATCATATGAAACTATTAAATAATTTTGTCATTTTCTGTGGGAGAATTATCTGAAATGCAATAGAGACATTTTTTTCTAGCCAAT